CGGCGTGGGCGGGCGCTGGGGCTGTGGAGGAGGAAGAGGAGGGTCTGGGCGGGGTGCGCTGAGGACCCGGAAGTGAGCCGTGAGTGTAGGGAGGGAAGACAGGAAAAGGCTCGTGTACGGTAGTGGTTTCGAACACACCTGCCTCGTCCTGAGGGCGTGGACGACGGCTTTAATTCGCGTCTCCAGTCTCCACCGCAGGACTTGTGGGAGCCTCCACTGAATGAGTGGGGCGGGGCTACAAATGAGGGAGGGGAGACGCGTCGTGGACTGTTGTGGAAGGGGCAGGGGAACAGGCCTTTATGAAGCCCGGGACAACCTTCAGTTCCCCAGAGAACCTCCCCAAGCGTCTGAGCCCCCTCCCGCCCCTCCCCCTACTCACAAATAGGAGCTCTCAGAAATGGATCCGATACAGCAGATCCTCCAATAACTGCGTTTTTTGTTCAACATAGTTTCCATATCATGTGGATGAGATGCCGTAGGGACTTAACTGTTGTTTCTTTCCCTTAGCCTAAGGTAAAATTGGTTTCGTTGTATGGCTGGCGTTGGGCGTAAAGTCTCAACGTTAAGCGAGGGCTTACTGTGTACCTCTCCTGTTGGCTTCGCAGGAACTGTTCGTGGAGACTATTGCGAAAGATGCCTACTGCTGTGCGCAACAAGGAAAGAGGAAAACCCTCCAGAGGAGAGATTTGGGTAGAGTGTCACTGTGGTATCTGCTGCAGGGGGCTGACAGGGGAGGCTGGGTGAAGCTTACCCTCCTACAGGTTAAGAAGGCGTCACTGTAAAAGGAGAGGTGCCGCAGGGTCTCTATGGTGTTTTCTGTTGGACTGCCATGGCGTCAGAAAGCCCTGCCTTCAGAGTCTCTGTGCTTTTGGAGGCCGGAGGGATGTTGGGGCAGAGAATGAAAGGAGTCTAGTTGTTGCCAAAGCTGACTAGACCTCGGCATGCTTTCTGCCATGTTGTACCAGGCTTGACAGTTCTTTTTCCCCTAGAAACTGGGAGTTTGATTTCTGACTCTCCTTTCTAGGTGGTAACCGTCACACATTTGTAAGCTTTCTTATAGCCTATTTTCACTTTCTCTGCTATATTGCTAAACTCTTCTCCGATGATGCTCAGAGCCAAGAGGTTCTCTTCACTGAACCGTATTTGTCCAGGCTTTTCTTTACTCTTACAGAGAGAGAGAGCTAATAGGTAAGATTTGGTGATGGGGTAGAAATGGACCTCAAGATAGCAAAGGGACAAATTTATAAATTCCCTGATTTGCTTAAAGCCTCTTACCTCCTTTAGTGTGTGGGTTATGCTTTTGGGGAGCTGCTGTCCAAATGACCAGAGATAGTCAGGTGTCCCTTTACCTTGTGTTTCAGATAATGCAATAGAAGCTGTGGATGAATTTGCTTTTCTGGAAGGTAAGTTCTCTATCAGTGGATAATTATTTCCAACTGCCTTTTTCCATGTTAATGATCTGAGTTCAAAACATTATAAAAAATGGATGCGTGATTCTTCCTTGTTTGTGTAGGGATAGTTCTCCCTACTTCCTTTTAAGATAAGAAAAACTGATTTGGTAAATCTGGTGAGATTTAGAAATTACAATTCCTGCCCCACTGGGGGTGGCTCAGCGGTTGAGCGTGGACCTAGGATCCAGGCCATCGGGGTTCGATTCCTGGTTAGGGCACATGCCCGGGTTGTGGCCAGATCCCCAGTCGGGGGCGTGCAGGAGGCAGCCAATCAATGACTCTCTCATCATTGATGTTTCTATCTCTCTCCCTCTCCTTTCCCCTCTCTGAAATCAATAAAGATATATTTAAAAAAAAGAAAGAAAAGAAATTCCAATTCCCTTGAGGAATTAGAACTTCTACCTGAGAATTGCTAATCATAAAGAAATGGGAGATAAATTAAGACCAAAGTGGAGTTAGGTGGATCCCGAAGTTTAATTCCTACTTTGGTCTCACTCTAGATATAAATCTTCCCCCTTATAAAGCTAGAAATCAGAAACAGTTGCCAACATTTGAAAGGATTAATTCTTGTTCCTTTTTCTTCAACAATCCGTGTTAAGTATTTTGCTGTGGTGAGAGATTCTGTACTTGCCTGCATCTGTTCTTAGGAATTTTAGATGAACTCATGTTTACTAACTAAATCTTGTCATTGAAACAATAAATATTTGAAATACCTCATTTTAGCTACCTTCTCTCAGAACTGTTTCTGATTGCACTATACCAAGTTATTCTCATTACCTACTTCGAGCCTCATTACTTTCCAAAATCTTTTCTTGATGTATTTATTTCTTTATATGGACACTTTTGTTTTGCATCTTTGTATCAGTCTAGGCCCCTGGCCCTTTTGATATATTCTTTCAGATGTCTTTAAAGATAAATTCCCATGACCAGCTTCAAGTATTTTCTTAATTTATAGACTTTTCTTAAGCCTCTCTGTTTATGTACTCATTATTCTTAAAAATAACTTGTTTGCCGCCTGCCTAAGGCAGGTAACTTCTTACGACTGACTTCCTGTAAGTTTTCTAATAAAAAATGTTGGGAGCATACTCTGCCTGCTCATTTTTAATTACCAGCTCTTCAGAGATGAGTAATATGATCAGATCTGTATTTTAAAGACATACCACTAGTGCCCTGTGGATAATAAATTAATTGGAGGGTGCCAGAAATAGAAGTGGAGAGATCTTATGCAGTTTTCCATCCCAGCCTCTCCCATGGCATAGTGCTTAGCTTGGATTTTTAATAAATGCCACTTATTGAGTTGTCGATGTGTTCATTTTCATGTTCCGATCCAATAATCTCAGTAATTGAATCCTCTCTGCTATATTACATTAATAGATCAGAATTTTGACCATTTTAGCCCCTGTGGATTTAGTCAATATTATATTATTTTGTACCTGGTAAAGTAAATGTTCTATGTCCTTAGATTTGTATGTTCTAAGTAGAAAATTACTTTTTTCTTTTTTAATCAAGGCAATATATATCCATGCTTAAAAATCAAATAGTTACTTAATGGCTTATAATGAAATGTAGCTGTTGCCCCTCACCCTTTTGCTTCTGTTTTTAGCTTTCAGGTGGTTACTTGTATTTCTAAATAATATGCTTCCTCCTTGATTTACCAACTGCAGGTGTTACTAACTCCTGCTATGATAAATGAAGACTTGGCTAACCTATACTATCCCATAAATCTTTCTCTCTGTTTTTTGGTAGTTGTATCATTATTTTTAGTTCCTTTGTTACCTTTACAGGTTATATAACACACCAAAATGTCTATTTTTTGTTGTATCCAACTTTCAACATTTTTCTTGTCTCCCCACTGTATAAAGTATGACTGTTACTGCACCTATCTTTTCCGTTCCTGTTTTTAACCCAGTTCTAGCTGTTGCTTTGTGTCATCTACACTTATTCTTTGACATTGTTGTGGCTGATAACACTTATATCATCTTATCAGAATTTCAGAATGAAATCTTCCTTGCTTTACCTATAGGTTGAAGGTAGAAACTGAAAAACAGTACTGTGAATAGTCGTCCTATATGCTTTCTGTTCCTTAATACTTCAAACAGGTCCCCTCCCTGCAAGCAACTGTTATTAGGCTCTGTAATCTTCTGGATATTTTGTCAAATAAATAAATTTATATATGTATATTCCTGTGTAAGTTTTTCCTTATGAAATACATGAACAAATGTAAAGTCAATAAAGGATAAACAGCATTGTAACCACCAACTAGGCCAAGAGATAGAATATTGTCAGCACCCAGAAGCTCCATATATATATTTCTTCTTCATCATATTCCTTCCTATTCTCTGTCCTGACATAACTGTATCCTGACTTTTTGGTAATTACTTCCTTGATTTTCTTTATAATTTTACCACATAAGCATGCATGTGTTCTTACTGAATTTCTCTTGTTTGCTTATTTCATCAATTCTTAAGAGTTGTGTGTTAAAGTCTATTATGATTGTGGACTATTTCTATTTCTATTTCTATTTCTCGGACTGTTTTTTATATATTATGAGACCGCACGATTAGGTACATATATATGTACTTTTAGTATTGTAATATATTATTATTTGAGTCTTTTACGTTTATAAATTGACCATTGTTATTTCTAGCAGTGCTTTTTGCCTTAAGGTCTATTCTAATATTAAAGCTTACCAGCTCTCTTTTTTTTTGCTATTTTCATGGTATATTTTTTATGTTTACCTTTCCATATCTTTGCAAATAGTATATAATTGGAATTTTTTTTATTTTATTTTTTTTAAATTCAGACTGAGTCGTTAGCTGGCACACACTCAGGTAATTTATTTTTGATGTAATTAGTGATATGATTGGTTTTAAATCTACCATCCCATTTTGTCCTTTCTGTTTGTCTTGCCCATGTTTTATTTTTCTTCTCCATTTTTTGCTCCTGTTTTTGAGTATAATATTCCTTTTTTCCCCTCTATTGTTTTGGAAGTTAGTTGTTCTAGTTAGTTCTATTCTTTTGGAAGTTAGTTGTTCCAGTTAATTAGTTCTAGTCTTTTATTTATTTATTTATATTATTATTTTTTAAATTTATCTTTATTGTTGAAAGTATTACAGATATCCCCCCTTTTCTTCCCCATTGGTCCCTCCACCCCACATCCACCCCTCCCACCCCCAGGTCTTCACCACACTATTGTCTGTTTCCATGGGTTATGCATATATGCACATAAGTTCTTTGATTAATCTCTCCCTGCCCCCCCCTTCCCACTGAGATTCATCAGCCTGTTCCATGCTTCTGTGTCTCTGGATCTATTTTGTTCCTCAGTCTATTTTGTTTATTAGATTCCACATATGAGTGAGATCTTGTAAAACTGAATCAGGAAGAATCAAAAAACCTGAATAGGCTAATAACTGATAAAATTGAAGCAGCAATCAAAAAACTCCCAGCAAACAAGAGCCCTGGTCTGGACAACTTCACAGGGGAGCTTTGTAATTCTTTAAGTTGTAGGGTTAGATAGTTTACTAAAAATCTTTCTTGCTTTTTGAGGTTGACCTGTAGTGCTATGAAATTCCCTCTTAGGTCTGCTTTTGCTCTGTCCTGTAGATTTTGGGTTGTTGTGTGTTCATTTTCATTTGTTTCCAGGAAGTTGATTTCTTTCTTGATTTTATTGATAACAACATGCTATCTAGCCTCCATCTGTTTGAATATTTTTGAATGTTTTTACCGTAATTGGTTTCTAATTTTATGCCCTTGTGATCTGAGATGCTTGATATGATTTCAGTTTTCTTGAACTTGTAGAAACTGGTTTTGTGTCCTAACATGTGGTCTATCTTTGAGAATGACCGTTGCACTTGAGAGGAATGTATATTCTGCAGCTTTGGGGTGAAATGTTCTGTAAATATCATTTAAATCCATCTGACCTAGTGTGCCATTTAGAGTCACTGTTTCTGCGTTGACTTTTTGTCTGGAAGATCTATTCAGTGAAGTCAGTGGAGTGTTAAAGTCCATGACTATGACTGTATTGCTGTTGATCTCTCCTTAAAGTCCTTAAGGTTATTATTGATAGGTCCTTATTTATTGCCTTTTTAATTCTTTATGCCTATGTTTCTTTCTCTATTTCTTCTTATTACAGCAGTCCCTTTAACATTTCCTGCAATGCTGGTTTGGTGGTGATATACTCCTTTAGCCTTTTTTTGTCTGGGAATCTCTTTATTTCACCATCTATTTTGAATGATAGCCTTGCTGGATAGAGTAGTTTTGGTTTCAGATACTTGTTTTGCATTATCTTGAATACTTCATGCCATTTCCTTCTGGCCTGTAAAGTTTCTGATGAGAAGTCAGCTGACAGCCTTATGGGAGCTCCTTTGTAGGTAACACATTGCTTTTCTCTTGCTGCCTTTAATATTCTCTCTGTCTTGAGAGAATATTAAGATTTTTGGCATTTTAGTTATGATGTGTCTGGGCATGGGCCTCTTTGGATTCTTCTTGCTTGGGACTCTCTGTGCCTCTTGAACTTGTGTGACTTTTTCCTTGACCAAGTTAGGGAAGTTTTCTGCCATTATTTCTTCAAACAGGTTCTCTGACCCTTGCTTACTTTCAACCTGTTCTGGCACTGCTATGATGCAAATATTGTTATGTTTCATATTGTCCCACAGATCCTTTAGACTGACCTTCTGTTTTTAATTGTTTTTTCTTTTTGTATTTCCAATTGATTGATTTTTTTTCTACCCTGTGTTTTAATTTGCTCATCCGATCCTCAGCTTCCTCTAATCTGCTGTTTATTCCTTCCAGTGTATTATTTCTGCTATGCCATTCTTCATTTCTGACTGTTCATTTTTGATAATTTCCATATCTTTTTTCATGCTGTTGAGCATCATTACAATTGGTATTCTGAACTTTATATCTGATAGATTGCTTATCTCTATTTCATTTTGCTCTTTTTCTGGAGACTTCTCTTGTTCTTTCATTTGGGGTTTGTTTTTTTGTCTCCCAATTTTAGCTGCTTATTTGGGTTTGTTTCTATGTATTAGGTAGGCCTGCTAGGACTCTGTTTTCTTAGACTGTCTCTGGTGCAGGCCAGTGTCAGATGCTGTTTATGACTGGCCTTGAGTATCCCATTTGGAGTTATCAACAGCCCATGGCTTGAGGTTTCCTCTATTGGGGCTGGGTGCGTTTGCACAGTTCTAGTCTTTTACTACTCTATCAGTTACTTCATACATCTTTAGTTTATTAAAGCCTAGTGTTAGTACCTTTCCCCTCAGTCTCAACAAAATGGGATCTTAGAATCCATTAACTCCATTTATAAGTCCCTCTTTTGCCACACATGTGTTATTGTCATGAATTTTTGTTTCATCTTTTGTTTTGTGTTTGATGGTTCCCAGAAGACATTATCATTGCTATCTTACACAGTGAATGATACATAAATTTATCCATATTCTTACTATTGTCTTTGCTCTTCTTTCCATTGTATAGTTCTGGTCCTCCATTTGTGATCTTTTTTTTTCTGAAGTAAACCCTTTAGAACTTCCTTTAGTTTGGGTCTTCTGGTAGCTGCCTTTTTCTTTTTTCTTTCAGCATGTGGAAGCTATCATTTTATTTTTTTTGGTTTCTATTGTTTTTGTTGAAAAATTACCTGTTACATCTATTATTCTTTTAGAGCTGATTCATCCTTTTTTCTGTTTGCTTTTGAGGTGTTCTCTTTACCTTTGGTGTTTCTGTAGTTCACTTTGATATATCTAGGTGTAGCTTTCTAATGTAGTCTGCTTAGAGTTGTTAAATCTGTGGATCTGTCCTGGAGAATTCTTAGCCAATAACTGCTGAAACATTGGCTCTGCTTTGTTTTTTCTATCTCCTTTCTCTTTGGGATTCCCATTAAATAGATGTTAAAACTCAACCATAATTTTGCCTCTCCATGATGTATTCTATGTAATTTTCCTCACCTTCCAGTTCTCTCTTCAGTGATCTTATCTCCTTTAAACTTTTCTGTTGATTTTTTTAGTTTCAGTTTTTGTTTTTATATTTTTCAGTTCTGCAAATTCTATTTGGTTATTTTTAAATGTTTTTTGTTACTTTTCATGGTTTGTATTTTCTGCAGGCATTTTGAAAGCTTGTATTTTATTTCTTTGAACATAGTAAGCACAATTGTTTATTGTCTGTGTCCAATCTAACACCTAAGCCTTTTGAAGCATTTTTTGTTTGTTTTTTTTTGGTTTATTGTTTTTGTTAATACTGTCTCATGACCTTTTTTCCTCTGTATCCCTAGTTATATCAGTACATGGTTCATTGGATTTGAAAGTGTTATTTGTTGGATACTTTGCGGCCTTCTATGATGAAATCTTTCTCCAAAGATTTTTATGTGCTTCTGCAAGGCACTTAGGGGCACTTATCAGTGTAGGAGCTCCAAAACCAAGATTTGAGGATGCTTGGATCACCGTGGTGATATGAACTGTGCTAAGGTCTGTGAGGGGGCTGATTTAATTCTGGTTTTGCCTTACTTGAAAGTGTAGCCATTTGGGGCTCCAACTTTTAAAAAAGGGTGTGTGTTGGGGGAGGCAGGTTATCAGACCTTCCCACTTGGGGAGATTCAGGGATTTGACTCTTGGTTTTCTGAGCCTTCCAGAATAATAGCAGTTTCTTAGCTCTGTCTTTTGGATGAGCAGATGCCTTGAGGGCAAAAGCAGCTTTGAAGGCTGGGTTTACCTTGTGTTTCTCACCGTTCTGCATATTGGATTTGCCTTTTCTTGATGCTTCTTCAATGCCTAGAGGCTTTTTAAAAAAATACTTGAATCAGCTTTATCAGTTGGTCTCAGCAGGAATTTACATTCTCACTTTTTTCAAAAAAGTAAATTTTGGCCTCTCACTATGTAGAATTTTTTCAAATGCCTTGTATTTTTATTTTTTTAAAAATGAGGGAGTAAGAAGGCTGGTGGAAACTGTGTGTGTGTGTGTGGTTTTTGCCTGCCACTTTAACTTTAGTGTGAGTAGGAGTGGGACTAGATGTTACGGTGTGGTCCCCCAAAGGCCAGAATGCAGAGAGCTTTGGTGTGGGAAGCTGGCATTTTCAGAAGCTGCTCTAGTTCTCCAGATAATTCTTTTAGTTCTTTAGAAGAGAGCCCTCTGACATTTTCCTGCCAAGTAAGGTTTACATTCTTGTTTTCTGGTAGTGCTGCATTCAGGGAGGGTTATAGGGAAATGGAGCCAGCTGTTTGTCTCTTTCCATCATTCCTGGTGTCTTAGTCTGCAGCCTCCCCCATGGGTCTCCTAGGCAGATGGGCTCCCACCTCTGCTGCAGCTCCCTCTGTGTTCATTCTAGGCTCATTTTCCCTCTGCACTATTTATAAACATACTTAAGTCAGTTTTTTGTTGAAATCTCTCAACTGCTGATGGACTCCCTCCCCCAATTCTTTGTTGTAGATTTATGTCTTTTTTAACCCTTTTTCCCTTTTGAATGGAATCTAGGATAGGAGGGCATACATAGAAACTTATGGGCTCAGTATCCTATCTTGAACTGGAACTTTCTGAAAAAATCATAAACTCTTTGCTTAGAGAACTTACCTCATGTATTTTGTATCATTCACCCCTTGTATGGTCTCCACAAATGCTCATTAACTAACACAACTCCTTAGGTCTTTTCCCAGCACTAATCTGAACTCTTCAGACCAGTGTGCTTAATTCCCAACTGCCCACCCTTTACTGACATGCTTTTTTCCGAGGATATTTGGGATGGATATTCTTCTAAACAAGTATGTTGGTCTTAGAGAACTGCCAGCACCAAAGCAGCTTCCACTTTAACCTTGCCAAGTTTGTTACACTCCTCCAGCTCTTGAGGCACTTTGCTTGATACATTGCTCTTTGTCTTTTTAGGTACTTTGGATTGATTGCTGAGCTGGGCACTTTTGTGAACCTTCGCCTGCATCCTTCAGCTAGCCTTCTGCAGGCCTCAGCTTTGAAGAACAGAGTCCTTGGAAAGTCACACTTACATACTTTTCCTGTTCTGGCTTCACCTAAGCTGGAATAAACAGAGGTCTCACCTGTTCATTTTCCTCTACAAGGTCTTCCACTGCTGTGTCTTCCATTTCTGGCCTGGATGCAGCAGCTGCTGCTTGAGGCAGAGACAAAGAAAATGATTTGTGTTGGTTGCTTACTGAATGGTAGGGACAAGAATAAAGGTCTCTGATCAGCTTCAAGCGAGTGTGTTTCATAGTTCTGCCTTTGTTTTCGCCACCATGACAGGAAAGCTGCTGTACCTAGTCACAGACCTTCCTGATTGTCCCTACCAGCCATACTGAATCTTAGTCTTTCATTTATTCTTCATTTTTCCAGCTTGTCACCAGAATCTGGTTCCAGAGTTTACTGGATACCACGTAAGGTCTTCATAAGTTCAAATAAATGTGATCCTAGATTTAAAACTAACAGTTTTGTTGAGATATATATAATTTATATACCATGCAGGTCACCCATTTAAAGTACTGTATATATTTCAATAGTTTTTAGTATAGTCATAAATACATATAACTATCACCACAATTTTAGAACATTTTTATATGAGTGGAATCATAATATGTGGTATTTTGTGTCTGGCCTCTTTCATGTAGATAATGCTTTCAAGGTTTATCTATGTGATGGCATGTATCACTACCAATTCCTTTCTTTTTACTTATAAAATATACATAACATAAAATTTACCATTTAAAACATTTTTTAGTTTACATTCATGGTGGTGTACAACCATCACAACATCATATATCTCCAGAACATTTTCCATCTTCCCAAACAAACTTTGTACCCGTTAAACAATCACTTCCCCCTCTCTCCTCCCCTAGTCCTTGGTTAAAATGTTTTTGGGGGGTGTATGTGTGTGGGTGATGTAGCAGGAAGGAGGCAGAATATGTAGGAAGTAGTGGTTAAGGAAAGCAGCAGGAAGCCTTGGACAGTGGGTCTGAAGTATTTTTGGATCATGGATTGAAGATACAAAGTTCATAGATCTCCCTAGAAAAATGCACAGAAGCTCAGTCCTGTAATGTAAGTAAATTTTATTTTAGAATAATACTAGATTTACAACAAAGTTGCAAAGATAGTACAGAGTTCTTATATACCCCTCATCTAGTTCCCCATTGTTAATATCTTACATTGCTAGGTACATCTGTTAAAACTAAGAAACTGACATATGTTATTATTAACTAAACTCCAGACTTTGGCTTTTTCCAGTTTTCCCATTGATACCTTTTTTCTGTTCCAAGATCCAGTCCAGGCTACTATATACATTATGTTCACTTGTCATGCTTTCTAGTCTCTGATCTGTGATTTCTCAATCTTTCCTCATTTTTCATGACCTGCACTGGTGAGGTAGCCTATAAAATGTCCCCAACGTGGGTTTGTCTGTTTTTCTCATGATTATTTAGTCCCATAACTTCATAAAATTTCAGGGGTTATGCAAACCTCCAACGCCCTTCCATGAGCCACCTAATATTGCAAATGGGAATTAAAAAGGGCATGCTGGCCTTTTTATAAGATAAATTAGAGGTTGCAGCCCATTAGTGGAACATGAAGTTGATGAAGTGTGTTGTCTGTCACTGGCATTTTAAAATATATTAAAAGCATCAGAGTGTTGCATAAGGGTATTATTTTAATTTTTGCTTCATTTACATGTGTGTATATTAGGTCACTGTGTAAAATGTGAGTGGTGGGCAGAATTTTGGCCCCCATTACCTTCACCCCTGGTATCATGTCTGTGAATATGTTATGTTCCATGGCAAAGGAATTTGCATATGTACAGGCATACCTCAGCTATTGTGGGTTCAGTTCCAGACCACTGCAGCAAAGCAAATATTGCAATAAAGTGAGTCATAAAGTTTTTGGTTCCCCAGTGCATATAAATGTTATGTTCATAAAAGACTGTAGTCTATTAAGTGCAATAAATAGCATTATGTCTAAAAAACAATGTACATACCTTAATTTAAAAATATTGCTAAAAAATGCTAACCAACACATGAGCCTTCAGCTAGTCCTAATCTTTGCTGGCGGAAGGCCTTACCTCAATGTTGATGGCTGCTGACTGATCAGGGTAGTGGTTGTCAGAGGATGGGGTGGCTGTGACAATTACTTAAAGACAATAAGGAAGTTTGGTGCATCAATGGACTCTTCCTTTCATGAACGATTTCTCTAGCATTTGATGCTCTTTGATAGAATTTCACCCACAGTAGGACTTTTAAAATTGAAGTGAAGCCTCTCAAACCCTGATTTTTCACAGCTTCTTCACTGGGAGTAGATTTCATCTCAAGAAACTCCTTTCTTTGTTCATCCATAAGAAGCAACTCCTCATTTGTTAAAGTTTTATCATGAGATTGCATCAATTCAGTCACATCTTCAGGCTCCACATCTAATGCTAGTTCTCTTATGATCTCCACCGTATCTGCAGTTACTTTTTCCACTGAAATATTGAAGTTACCATAACAAATATAATAAGAATGAAAAAGTTTGAAATACTGTGAGAATTACTAAAGTGTGACACAGAGACATGAAGTGAGCAAATGGTGTTGGGAAAGACGGAGCCCATAGGCTTGCTCCATGGAGGATTGTCACAAACTTTCAATTTGTGAATGCAATAAAGGGAAGAGCAATAAAACAAGATATTCCTGTAATTAAGGTTACTAATCAGTTGACTTTAAAGTAGATTATCTTAGATTATCTGGGAAGGCCCAAAGTAATCACACAAGCCCTTAAAAGCAGAGCTTTTTCCTGGGTGAGGGTAGAAGAAGTTATAGAGATATGGTGGAAGAGACTCAGAAATATTCAAAGCATGAAAATGACTCCACCTATTGTTGCTTACTTTGAAGATGGAGAGGACCATGAGCCAAGGAATGTGTGAAGCTTTTAGAAGCTGAAGACAACCTCCAGCTGGCAGCGAGCAAAGAAAAGATCTCAGTCCCACAACTGCCTTGAACTGAATTCTGCCAGTAAATTGCATAGCCTTGGTAATGGATTTTTTCCTATAGCCTCCACATAGAGCCCAGGCCAGTCAATGATTTTCTTTCACTTTGGCCTTGCGAAACCCTGGGCATGGAATCTAGCCACACTGTGCCAGACTTCTGACCTGGAGAACTGCGATAATAAATGAGTGTTGTTTTCCAAATTTGTGACAATGATGTTTTTCTTCCTGTGGGTCAGAGTAAAATAAAACAAAACCTGGAAAATACTGCTGTAGTGTTAAGGATCCTGGATGGGGGTCAAGAGACCAATTCCCATCTAGCTGCTACTCCCACTACCTTAGATGGCCCTGTGTCAATCACTTACCCTTCTTGTGTTTTCTCTCTTGTCAATTGAGTGGGTTATTCTAAAGTTTCTTCCCCATGGCATATTTTTCTTTGACAAACTGTTTTATTATTTTTTTCCAGCAAAATTTACCTCATTAGTGTACAGTTCTAGGAGTTTTGGTAAATGCATAAATCACCATGTTAATCAAAGTATAGAACAATTATATCACCAGAGAAATTCCCTCATGCTGCCTCTTTATAGCACTCTTCCACTACACTGTACCCCAGCCCCTGGCAACCACTGATCTATTTAGTGTCCCTCGTTGTTTGCTTTCATAAATGGAACCAGCCTGACTTCTTTAAGTCAGCATAATGCATTTGAAATTCATCTATGTTGCGTGTATCAATAGTTTCTTTTTATTGCTGAGTAGTATTTCATTGTATAGTGTGTATGTACCATTATTTTGTTTATCCATTCCCCATTTGAGGGATATTTGGGTTGTATCCAGTTTTTGGTAATTATGAATAAAGCTTCTATAAACATTTGTGTACAGGTTTTGGTGTGAACATAAGTTTTCATTTCTCTTGGGTAAATACATAGTGGGAATGCTGGATCTTATTGTAAATGGATGTTTAATTTTTAAAGAAGTTGTCCAACTGTTTTCCAAAGTGGCTGTACATTTTACATTTATATAAGCAGTTTTGGAGAATTTTGATTATCCTGCATCCTTGCTAGCACTTGATATTAATTTAAATTTTTTTTTAAAGAAACCATTCTAATACGTATGTATTGGCATCTCATTGTGGTTTTAATTTGCATTTCCCTAATGACTAGTATGTTGAGCATTTTTACATATACATATTTGTCACTATATGACTTTTTTGCTGAAGTGTCTGCTCTCATCTTTTTCCTATTTTTAAAATTGGGTTGATTTTTAAAAAATATGCTCTTATTGATTTTTAGAGAAAGAGGGAGAGAGAGAGAGAGAGAGAGAAACATTGATGAGAGAAAGATCAATTGGCTGCCTCCTGCACGCCTCCCACAACCCTGGCATGTGCCCTGACCAGGAGGAATCAAACTGGTGACCTCTCTGTGCATGAGATGACGCTCAACCAACTGTGCCACACCGGCCAGGGTTGGGTTGATTTTTTAATTGAATTTTGAGAGTTCTTTATATATTCTGGATACAAGTCCTTTATCAGAAACATGCTATGCAAATATTTTCTCCCAGCCCCATCTGACATTGTTATTTTTAATCCTATAAATAAGACAACTGCACTCAGTCCTGCAGAGAGAGGCTGGCTCTCCAAGTCCTTGGTGAAGGCTGTGGAAACCATGGAGTGAGCAAGAAAGACAGCACGGCCACTCACTGGCTACTGTGCTGAATTGCCTGGCAATGACATTTCCTGGTTTTCTGTATTAGGGTAAAGGCTAATTTGCTATAACAAATATACCCCAAAACATACTGGCTTAAATAAAGTAAAAATTTATTTCTCCTCTATGTGACAATTCAACTGGATTAGACTAACGGGGTTACTCTGCTCCAGAGGTTCATTCTGGGATCCAGGCTCCTTCCATCTTATTGCTTTGTCTTCCATTCCCTACCGCTGGACTGTCTAATAGAACTTCCTGTGATGATGGAAATGTTCTCTAGCCATGGTCTACAATGTGGCCGCCAGCCGCATGTGGCTGTTGAGAAGTTGAAATGTGGCTAGTGTGACTGAGGAACTAACTTTTAAATTTTACTTAATTTAAATTTAAGTAGCCGCAGATGTCTATGGTTGCTGTATTTGACAGAACAACTCTAGACCCAGGCTGGATGGTCTCCAAGTTCAGTTCCAGTTCACAGGAAGGGAAAGAGAGTGTGAGTAGGATGAGAGTCATCTTTTAAGTTAGAGAGGACCCAGAAGTTGCACACATTACTTCAGTTCAA